TTGCGGTGCTGCGTTTAAGAGCGCGCTATGTCGCAGAATTACTGAAAGATGCAGCAAGTATCACAGACAAGCTGGTTCGGTCATGACACAGACCGCGGCAGCCAACCCCATACGCATGTTCCCGAGAATGGAAATGTTGCTATCCTCAGAGAGCTCCCCTGACAAAGGAGACGCGAGGAACCGAGGATCTCCTGGTGCAACTTCGGAAAGACGGATCTGAACCGCCTGTTCCTTTTCCTTTTATGGGCCCTCATAGTCCTTCACAAAGGCACCAGGCTCCAATCGTTTAAGACGTCGTCGTGTCGCAGCGTATCAGCAACGTCCCATCGAAGGGTAAATAAGACACTGACCTGTCAGAGGAAGGACGTGGATGGTAATAACTCCAGATCGTTTAGAGTAAACTTGCTCAATACGATTGACCTTCCAATGACCCTTCCTTGCGGAGTGTGTGGGTTTGAGACAAACTTGGCCCTCCATCGATTGATTCCGTCTTTCCGAACCATGGACGTTACCGTAGTATCCCAGCAGCGCCGTGTGTGGAAGTGTTTTATAAATCCAGCAAAAGTTGAGCAAAAGCTTCCATGCCGAGCCCGTCTGAATCGCGTAGCTTCAATCCAGGTGTCAGTGAACAGATCTCTTCGAGATAGTGATGGGCAAAACATGCAAAGTGGGTATGAAAAGAGAAATAAAGAGGTTACGTGTCCGGTGGAAAAGGATGAGAGAGATAGATGGTTGAATGAAAATACGAGTGTGCGGCCCGCCGGACCGTCGGAGTGTGAAAACACACCACCGCACGTGTTCGGAAATGTGCTCCTCAGCGTTCCGCGGGGTCTCAAGCCAAGTGTTGTGATTTCGGAGTTCGAATCACACCCAGATCACGCTTGCCCGCGCCAACACTTGTCCCGCAAATCACACTTTTTGCAGGGCGTCTCACGCCAAATCACAGTTTCTCGCGGGACAAGTCACAAAACGGAGGCGTCAAATCACAGTTTGGATCGCACTTTTTGGCGGGTGGGAGACCCGACTTGTCCTGAAATCACACCTCCCACCCAACACTTGTCCTGGACCCTGACTGTTTTCTCTCGTGCTCATACCCTTCCCCCGCTCGTACTTACCTGTCACCTTGTAAAATAGATTACACGTAGAAACCTGGTAAATTAAGTAAATGAATTGCACTTCCACTCAGCTCCACGTGCACAAGCTATTTCCAGCATCAAGGTTTGACAAGCCCACCCTCCCGGAAGACCTACAAAAAATGGATTTACTCCGTGAGTTCTGGCTCAAATCTTATGATCTTAAGCTTCACTTGACGCTGACTACTACAGGAAGCGCCTCCCGAGTTTACGAAATGGAACGCCCATCCGTTCAATTTTGGCATTCGATTTTGTGGTGAAAGGATGCCCATAAGCGGAAATTGAGCTAGAAAGGCAAGTTCTTACTCGTATTCTACACCCTTGGGCTCTACTTGACCGGAATCGCTTTAGGAATCACCTCCCAAGTATTGGGAATATGGCACCCAACCGTTCAAAGTCGGCGTGCGGTTCTGTGGGAAATAAGGTCTATTGCGAGAAATTGAGGCTTGCAGGTAAGTTCTTACTCGATTTTTACGTTCTTGAATTCTACTTGACCGAAATTGCTATAGGAACAACCTCCCGAGTTTTCGAAACATAGCGCCTAACCGTGCAAAGTCGGCGTTCCGTTTTGCGGAGAAATCACGTCTCTTACCAGAAATTGAAGCTCACAAGTAAGTTCTTACTCAAATTTTACATTCTTGGGCTCTACTTGACCGAAAATGCTTCAGGAACAACCTCCCAAGTTTGCGAAACATATCGCCCAGCCGTTCAAAGTCGGCGTTTGGTTTTGCAGAGCAATAAGGTCTCTTACCCCAGCAATTAAGGCTCACAGGTAAGTTCTTGCTCGATTTTCATGTTCTTGGGTTCTACTTGACGGAAATTGCCTCAGAGACAACCTCCCAAGTTTGCGAAACATGGCACCCAAACATTCAAAGTCGGCGTTTGATTTTGCGGAGAAATGAGGGCTATCACCAGAAATTGAGGCTTGCAGGTAAGTTTTTACTCAGATTTTATGTTCTTGGGCTCTACTTGACCGAAATTGCTTCAGGGACAACCTCCCGAGTTTGCGAAACATAGTGCCTATCTGTTTGAAGTCGGCGTTTGGTTCTGCAAGGCAGTGAGGTCTCTTACCCTAGAAATTGAAGCTCATAGGTAAGTTCTTGCTCAATTTTTACGTTCTTGGGTTTCACTTGACCGAAATTGCTTTAGGAACAACCTCCCGAGTTTTCAAAACATAGTGTCTAACCGTTCAAAGTCGGTGCTCGGTTCTGCGGAGAAATGAGATCTATTACCAGAAATTGAGCTAGCAATGTAAGTTTTTACCCGTATTTTATGTTCTTGGGCTCTACTTGACCGGAATTTCTTCAGGAACAAAGGCCCGAGTTTGCGAAACCTAGCGTCTAACCGTTCAAACTCGGCGTTTGATTCTGCGAGGGAATAAGGTCTCTTAGCAGAAATTGAGGCTAACAGGTATGTTCTTCCTCAATTTCTACGTTCTTGGGCTCTAATTGACGGAAATCACTTTAGGAACAACCTCCCAAGTTTGAGAAACATAGCGCCCAACCGTTCAAACTCAGCATTTGATTCTGCGGAGGAATGATGGCTCTTACCCCAGAAATTGAGGCTAAAGTGTAAGTTCTTCTACGTTCTTGGGCTCTACTTGGCGGAAATCACATCAGAAACAACCTCCTGAATTTACAGAACGTGGCACCCAGCCATTCGAACCAGGTGTTTGTTTCTGTGGCGAAATAAGGTATTTTGACCATTTTTCGTGGTACTGAGAATTGCTACACCAGTCATGTATATAAAGGCCCAACAGTAAAATTGATTTTAGAGTACCGTACATATCATGATGGGGATTATGTTGGGAAAGTAGCATATCTACTTGTATGCATGTCAACCCCATCACTAGGCCAATATGAACGAGAGAGGCAAGGCCGACTAGTACCTACTGAGGTCAATGGCATTCGTTCATGGTTGTAGAGACATTGGGCACTCACCACAGGTGGTCGTCTGTTGTTCGTTAGTTGTTCGTTGTCGTCGTCCCTCATTTGACTTCGTTGGTTCGCTGTCCGTCGTTGTTGTCTTCACGTTGTGGCGGTGGTGGTCCATCGTGGTCGTCTTCGCGTCGCCGTCGTCCGTCGTGGTCGCATCGTGGTGGTCCGATGTTGTGGTCATCGTGTGATTGTGGTCGCATCGTGGTTGTTGTGGTCGTGTCATGGTTGCCCTGTTTGCATCATGGTTGTCCATCGGCTTGCTGAGTATGGGAGGCAAGCTGCCATGACTTGGGGCCTCGGCTGCTATTGTTAGTCTTGATGTCGTGAGGCAGGAGGGATACAATACAGGAGGGGACTTACCAGTGGGACGATGTGGCGGGAAGGAAGAACCAGGTGGCAACCACGACCCTTTGGGAAGGTACAGCTACGACGCCGATTTTTGACGGACGGACTCCCGAAAAAGCGCTGGATCAATGCTAAAGTCGTCCGCCTGTAGAGGGGTGTCGTTGTCTGGAAAGCGGAACGAGGCACGCTCATAAGCATATGATACGACGACGAGGAGTGAATACTAACAATTATTGAATTATTTGATATTTACCATGTATGTACAATGCTAAGTCAGCGCGAAGACTTGGCCTGGTGTTTTCCAGACCCTAATCCAAGTCACAGTTTGATTGTGATCTGCCAGCGAGATCACACACCCGAATTGTGATCTCCGGCCAAGTACTTCGCTTAGGGTTCTTAGATCTCAGCCCAACAGGACATTCAAGCTGTCCCCGCGTAATTCTGCTACGTCTTCTCCTGTGACGTGTACGTGGATACGTACTTGTCCGCCTTTGGTGAAGCAGGAGTTGGAGTTTGAGGCGGGGGAGCGGTATGCTTCTGTGTCGGAATTTTTACTGGACGGTTGTGTGGCCTCTGAGTGTCTTGAGTCATCCTCTTCTTCCCCTTCTACCTTTCCCACCACTTCCCATCCAGATCCCTATCCCAACGCCCGTCCATGCAGACACCCACACCCTCATACTCACCTTCACGACCCCTGATACAATCTTCGTCGCATCAGACAAGACACCTTTTCAAAAGTTAGGGGTAAAAAAGGGGAGCAGTTGACACAATATGTACCCGCAAAAGCTCGCTTCCCACTCCGTGTTATCAGCAGCAAATGCGTTTGGACCATCGGTAGCTTTGGAGCACTGATATGAAAAATTTACTGGGTCGCCTATCCAGTGGTGTATGTCCCCCGAAGCGTTGTTCTGCACTGGATTCTGTCATGAACGGTGAGAGACGGAGAAGAACGCGAATGGGGGTGTGGTGCATTATGTTGATGTTGTATGTCCTTTTTTCTTCCTTTTGTAAATTTGAATGGAGGTTAACCTGGTTGGGTGGGCTATAGATATCAACATCTGCATCGGAGGATGGCCAAAGGTTGTGGGTCATCGACGACCCGCTCTGATCCTCCCAGGTGAGTTTCTTCCTCGTTCCAGGGAGGAGACGGGTTGCTGATACTTTCGGCTAGGCTTCATTCGCGTTGTTGAAGAAGGATCCGAATCCTAGTTTGAGGGATCTGTTGACGAATGTTAGGTGCATCCTTTTTCTTTCATTATCTACCCCCCTCTTCCTCTTCTACCTTTCTTTCTTTGTCTTCCGTCCTTTCTTGGTTTGCCCTTTCTTCATCATGCTACCTTCCTTCGCCTTCTGCCATTTCCTCGTCTTCCTTCCCCTCGCTACTCCTCCCCTTCCTTTTCACTTTTCCCCCATGAGTCCGTTACTAACCCACCTCCCTCCAGCCACGATCTCCACAGAGACCACCTCCGTCTCCACTCCATTTCTCGGGACTACAAAAAGCAAGTCAGGGAGAGAAATTCGAGTATGACGGCGAAGGGGCGCTGAGACCGGATTATGATTCCACAGGAAATAGAGATGGATGACTTTCATCATCCCCAGATCTCTAGCTCCAGGCCTTTCGTGAGTTTTTTTCTTTCTTTGAGCGGTTTCGGATGAGACTGACGATAACGTGTAGAAGGTGGGGCGGTTTTGAACGCGCGGGCTATGAGGCTCCCTGTTTCAATTTATTTTGTGGTTTTTTGACCCGTTTCCTTTCCACGCTCTACCAGACAGGCGAACAACATTATTGCAAGCGCCCTCTTTATGACAAACACACCCCTTTACGGCATGGGCGCCCCCACAGATCATCG